CGAAGGGTATGCCTTTACTCTTCCTTCAACCATTTCTGGAGACACAGTTACAAACCTACCCAAAGTCCAGCTTCATCAATGTCCTGTGTATTTCCTAATCTAATAAGCTGACAGTAAAATATAACTATAACAAGTACCTTGTCAAAAGCAGAGATGTTGATATTTGTTGAGACACTCGATGAATAATCTCTGATAGTAGTAATATTGAACCAAAACCACATAGGCTACACATACAGACAGAGTGATAGCTGTTGTTTTTGTTGCCAGTGAACTACTCTTCTACAAAATTCTGTTAATGCAAGTTTGTTTTTTTTTCTTGCCTGACAATAAAGAGATGGGTTGGAACAAAAGAAAAAATAAAATGATAAAAATAGTTCAGAGTTAATACAGAATAGAAAGAACATTACTGAGTGTTGGAATAGTAAAAACCACAAGGGTCTTAAGGAGACTGAAGATTGCTGAAATGCAATAAATAGATAATGGCTTGAACATATGATTATGACGGAGTTTCTCATACTCCTAATAAAAAGCACTTAGGTTATTTTCATAGTGGAGGTTTCTTGAGATATTATGGAGATAATTAAGTAAGATAATTAAAAGACCGAAGTCTAAGGAATTGAGACACCAGAATTCTTGAAAGGTGTTCAAATTATTATTGCAAATACCAAGAATCATAGCCTAAATTGGGCTGGGGAGAGCTACAATGTTTCCATTTCTAAGAAATGTAGAAGAGGGAGCTCAAGGGGTTCTTTTTAGTAGGTCAAGGAAGGGAAGTAGATAATGCAATCTGAGGACATGAACTCTAGAACTGAGCAAATCTAGAGAGCAGAGAAAAAACATAGTTTGAATGAAACACCTTTTTGCAGAGCAAGGAAGTGCCTATATATTTTATTGTGCTGTGATAAGATAAGCTGACAAAAAATATAAACCTTTCAGAAAGGGTTTATTTTGGCTTACAATTCCAGACAGATTCTGTCATGATGGGGAAGGCTGAGTGGAAGGAGCAAGATATCATATGGTATCTACACATAGAAAAGAGAGAGAAAATAGAGGTGAAGCTAAGGCATAAAACCTAAAAGCCCATTCCAGTGACTGCTTCCCCTGCAAAGATCTGCCTCCTAAATATTGCCCTAAAGTACCATCAACTGAAACTGTGGCTACAAATACAAGAATTTATGGGTATATGTTATATTCTAATCACAATAGACCCATTCTATTGTTATGACAAGAGATAATAAGATGGGAGAAAATCAGTTTTAACTTTTGAAAGGGGTGTAAAAGAAGTTATTATCTCTAGAAAGAGTGAAGCATCCAATGCAGCTCAAATTTTAGTGGAAAATTTCAAAATAAAGGTAAAAAAATGAGTTAACTTATTAGAACCATGAAATCCTCATGGTACAGTGAGAGAACAGCTTTAGGAATCCATGAGTGTTGTGAGACTGAGATCTTCAGAGTCATATGGAGAAAAAAGCCCTGCAGGAAAGGTTTCTTGCAGACACTAACAGGAAACTGAGAAGTGGCATATGACTGAGTGAGCTGTGATAGTAGGTGAGGAACACTCTGACTGAGTGGCAAGGGAAGTGCTACTAGGAATACATGATGATATAAACTCTATTTGTTCAGTCTTCTCTAGGTCCCTGAGAATTTGGGGCAGACAGCTGGGAGGAGGCAGTGTTGCAGAGAAAGAGAACTATGTGCATGTCCATTTCAAAATGTTAACAGTAATTATCCTGGCAAATTTCCTTCATACATACCCTTGTCTTTCTCATGTTTATTTATTATTTTAGGTAATTGAGTTTTTTAAGCAATTATATGTATACTAGTACATATATAAATATATATTTACATGCATGTATATGCATATCTATATAGCCATAATATGTATTTACATGTTACACTGTTTTTATATTTGTACATCTATATGTCTAGAGATAAGCATATACACATTTTCTAATTTGGTAACTTAGAATGAACACTTTGGCTTAAGAAGAAAAAAGATTTGGTAATATGTAATATTCTTTCAGCCTCAAATCCTTCTATATCTATTTTACTTCAGCTGTGTTTTTGAAATTACTTGGCTAACATAAGCCCATGTTCACAGAGAAAATCATCAACATTTTTAAATAAAGTTGTTGAGATGTGAGACTGAATAGACCCTAACAATCACACTTATTGATGTGTCAGTTGTGAAACACTGTACAGACGCCTCCCTTACATTCTCTGTAATGATGCCTGGATATTTTCAGGGAGATTTCAACTAAATCGGATGCTGCTGAGTGGATTCTTCCCAGTCCTAATGCCTGCATTACATTTTTATTTCTCAGATATTTCTCAAACCTATTAGTTCCTCTAATCTAGCAAGTGTAAGTTTTCTCTTATTTTTTCCCATTCTTCAAGGTTATGACTAAGATTGTAGGCATGAGCTGCAGAATTAGAATCTTAGGGTTTGAATCTTAACAATGACTAAAAGACAAGGTTTTTGTCCTTAAGGAGTTTATAGCATACTCACTGAACAAAGACAGGTCCTTCACTATGTACAACACAAAATTGAATGAAATAAGTTTAGTAACTGTCAGGGACAAGGATAGAATCTCTAGTTAATGGAAAAATATAGACCCCCATAAGACAGGGAACTAGAACATCTTACGGTCAGGTTGTCTAGTGACAGGACATTGAGTCAGAGCCTTTGACCTTTTCACCCTGTCAACATCCTGCATAAACATCCTATACAAATATCCTGCAGCTGGGTTAACTTGCCCCACTCTATGCAGATAACAGCTTCCTGCTCCCCCCACCCTGTAGGAACTATATAAACCCTCCTAGAGAAAAATAAAGTTGCACCTTGATCAGAATCTTGTCTTGGTGTATTCCTTTGTGTCTCCTGTCCCTATCATTCCATCCTTAGGGTGGTCGAGTTCCTGTTGAAGCCCTGCTGGCCAGGGCAACTGGTGCCCAACGTGGATGAAACCACTTCTTGAGGATCAAACATCACCAAGGCCTTGGTCTTTCCTCCAGGAGACGACGTTCCAGATCTAACATTGACTGAAAGGATAGAAGATGATAAATATAAAGAGAATGACTCATGAGTATAAGTGTTAGAAAAAGGGTATTTTAGAAATAAAATAGTACTGGGGAGAATAAAATTGATTTTAAACAGAGAAATGAATTTAATGGATGTTTTAGTTTCCCTTCTGTTATTATGATAAAATATCCCAATGAAGACAATTTTATGGCAACAAGCTATATTTTGGCTTACAGTTAAGAAAGGAGAGAGTCCATTGAGGTGCCAAGACACAATTGGTAAAAAAGAGGCATTGCTACAGGATCAAGGAGATGGCTGATGATCACATTGCATCTGCACTCAGGAAGCAGAGAATGAGAAAGTGAAGCCAAGCCATGAAACCTCCAAGGCACCCCCTCCCCCCAGTGATATATATGCTCCAGTAAGGCTCTACCTCCTAATGGTTTCAGAGCCACCAGCTGGGGACCAAGTGTCCAAACACATGAGCCTATTGGAGATAGTTCATCACAGCAAGAAAATAATGAACTTGTCTGTTCATGGAAGAGTTTAGAAAGGTATGCATGTATGTTGAAGAATTGGGACCTGACAGCTGTTCTTCAAAGCACCTTGATGGAACATGATTCTGATCCTAGTAATTCTCATTGGCTTAGCTACTATGGCTCACTCCAAGGTTGCTTCTGTACTTGAGAGGAACTAGTAAAACACTTTTTTTTCTTCTTCTTTTTCTTTCTGAAGCTGAGGATTGAACCCAGGACCTTCCGCTTGCTAGGCAAGAACTCTGCCACTGAGCTAAATCCCCAACCCCTGTAAAACACTTTGATCAATTATTTATCTCACTTCAGGGTGCCACACAAATGATGTTCCTGATTTTTAAAAAAATCTTTTAATAGATTGAATGATTACTTTTAAAAGTCATTTAACTGGGTCAAAGTAAGTACAAACAACAATTAAATACTTACAGTATTAGAACAAAGAGCCTTGCACAGTATCATATACTTGTATTCTCAGCGTTCCAGAGACAGAAGCACCAGTGTCTCATCATCAAATCCAGCCTGCCATCCTGATCTATATCGAAAGTTTAAAGTTCTGTATCGAGACCCTGTAAAAACAAAAGACAAAACAACCAACTGAACAACCAAAAACTTCACACTGAAACATGAGTAGAAAAATGTATAGCATGGTAAAAATAAGACAATTTGAGCCAGTTGGGGTCTTTGTCATTTAATATCTGGTGGTTTTAAATGAACATTCTTCCTTAGTCATTTCTTTGTTTTGAAGAAATAATGTCTCAGGACACAAAAACAACAGATTTTTCTATACAATGAATAGATTTTGCTCTTTAGAGTACAAATGGTCTCTGTCAGTGTTTAGCTCTGCTTTGACAGGGTAAAAGGTTGTATTCCTGTCAGTGTGAAAATCTTCCACTTAAGTTTTATTTATAAAGTTGGGTATTTGGCTAAATTTGAATGGTAGACATAGTTTGCTAATACCATTTAAAATTATTGGAAATTGTATTAAAGAGTATTGAAGAAGTATAATAACATTATACTGTAATCATGTAATTAAGGAGGTTCAGCAAATGCCTGGTTGGAGTCATTGATGGGAATCGACAGAAAAACCAGCCCTGACGAAGGTGATAAAAATTCTAACTCAGTGATATTTCTGCAGTCAACAGCAATGATTATTTTATATTTCTTCCACTGTTTACAGGGCAAAGAAAACAATCAATATAACTTAAGTTAGAGGCAGGCGTAGTTCACTGAGATATAGACCTCCCAGAAACATAAGTCCATAAAACTAGATCTCACGAGAAAAACGAAATAGGAGTAAGTAATTATGATAGAACCTTTCACCCCATGGGTGACTTCATTCTTTCAGAAAAGCCTCATGAGGTATATGCTGACATCCCTATTGTGCAAATAAAAACAGAGAGACACAGGCAGCTGGCCACATGGCTTAAAAAAAAATCTCGGCCAGCTCACCCGCCCCGGGCCGGCGCGGGCGCTGAGGCTCGAGGCGGGGCGATGGCTTCCCCGCACCGGGCGGCCAGGCAGGCGGCCGCCAGTCTCCACCTGCCGGTAAATCCCACCACCGGAGCAAGGGGCGCCCAGTACGAACACGAAGACCCCTTAGAGTCCTTGGTAGCAGCGGCGTTGGCGGCAGCCGTGGAGGAGGAACAGACAGGGATGCGGCCGGCGCGGGCGTCGGCTGGTGGTGGTAACAGCTTTCCTAGGGAGAATGAAGGTGTGACACTGCAGGACGTCATGGACTTTTCTGAGATTTACCACTCTAATGAAGAGTATTTCAGGAAACTAAGAGAGCTGAAGGCTGCCCATGCAGAAACCATGGCAAAATTAGAGAAAATGTACCAGGACAAGCTAAATATAAAAGACATCCGGCCAGTGGTCATCAGGGAAGATTCTTCTAGTGTCTCCTCTGGTTCTGCATCGGAAAAGGACTGCCCTCACCCTGTCTTGTTAGTGACATCGTTTTCAGAGCCTGAGGTAGGCGGGTCACCCTCCTTGTCCACCACTTCTGACGAGGAGCTGCCCACCCTGGAGAGAGAGACTCCCAGGGGAAGCAGACTGACAGCCTATGCCAAGGAGCTCATCAACAACATGTGGACTGGCTTTTCTGTAGAAGATTATATTCAGCACGACTCTGACTTCCAAACAGCTAAGAAAACAAGGAAGAAACCCAAAGCCTGGGTGCCCACAATTACAGTGCCCGTGCCCTTTCAGATGACGCTCAGGGAGCAGAAGAGGAGAGAGGAGGCGCAGAAGGCCCGAGCGAATCTGGAAAGGGACGGGGACGACGTCGACGACGCGGAGTGCAAGAGGAAATTCCGAGCCAATCCTGTCCCCCCCTGCCTGTTCCTGCCCCTGTATGAGGATCTGGTCAGGCAGAAGGAAGAGCAAAGGAGGACCGCCAGGGAGAGGAACAAAGCCGCGCTCCTGGCCTCCCAGAGGCCGTTCAAGTTCATTGCCAGGGAGGAGCAGAAGCGGGCAGTCCGGGAGAAGCAGCTGAGAGACCTTTTTAAGTCTAAGAGGAAAACGAAGCGCTTTAAAGCCAGACCCATGCCTCATTCTATTTACAGGTCGGCTTCCAGTGACAAGTCGAAGGAAGAAGAGCTCTTTCGGAACATCAGGATGCAGCTAAGGGCCCAAGAACTGCTACAGAATCCATCCTGGCCCTATAGGCCAGCTGGCAGACCTTTCAGGGACCCCAGAAGTCCTGGAAAGCCACGGGGTAAACACAGGTGTAGGTGCCTGAGCCCTGATGATGGAGACTTGGCTGAGAACCGACGGAAGGAGCCCTCCTCAGAACACTGCTTCCTGAACCCCTCCACTCTTTATAAACAGTGTGGTCTTCAGGAATCCCCGTGTGACTCTGCTAAAAGACAGAAAGTCTTGGCAGACATGAGAGCAGTCGAAGAAAATCTGAAAGAAACATGCTGGCCTTATCTGTCTCCAAGGCGGATGTCCCCGGTCAGAAGTCCGTGTGCAAAGCCCAGGCCTGGTCTGTGGAGCCCTCCAATGCCTACCCTGTCTTCCCGAGGGCGGGAACAAGCCATCAGAGAGAGTGAAAAGGCAAGGATGAAAGAGTATCGACAAGAACTGGAAGAAAGAGATGAGAAACTTCAGAAGAGGCCGATGCTGTTTGAAAGAGTTGCCCAGAGAAATGCAAGATTGGCAGCAGAAAAGCATTATTCTGACACCCTAAAAGCACTAGGCCTGTCTGAGGAGTTTGTTACAGAGAAAGGCCAAGGTGGAAAAGTGTCTGAGAACATCACCAGGCCAGAGCCGAGAAGCCACACATCGGATAAAGAAAGCTCTTATGAAGAAGAAAGAGAGAATGAGGAAGAAAGCTCTTTTCTTGATGCCAGCAGCCAGGACTCTCACAAGGAAAGCACGGGAGATGTTAAAGAAAGCAGAGAAGGAAATTCTGAAGAGTGAACCTGAGTCAAAGGCTTCCGCTCACGGAGCCCTTCCTTCCACACGCAGCCTCAGGACCTCAGCCCCGCACCGTGCTGCCCTGAACACATGTGGGGACAGCTCCCACGCATGCAGAGCCGCTGAACCAAGGCGTCCTGTCTGGAAAAGGCTGTGTCCACACAACGGCTGATTTGATTGCTAGATTACAGCTTTGCTGTCTGCAGTTTTGAAATTGCTATGTGTGCTGTTTGTGATTATGATTATATTTTATTTTCAAAGTGTTTGAGGGTTGGAGAACCGCAGCTGTCACAAATGGGTTAGTTATGGAAATGTACATTTATATTTGGTAGGGAAAAGAGTTTGGTATTGAGAGAACTATTAGCTTTTGAAGATCTATTTTTAAATTTACTAAGTATTTTCAATTTTTTCAAATAATATACAGAAAAAATAGGTACTTAGAAGTGTACTGCTAAATTATCCATACCATGGCTACTTTTTCTTTTTTTGCCCTTTTTTTGTGGAGATTAAATCCAGGGTTCACATATACTTTAACATGAATTCTACCATTGAGCTGTACCCCTAATCCCCTCAAATCTTTTTTGATAGGTAAAGTATTAAAATAATTTATCTTACTTTGTATGTATGTATTACTGCACATGGAATAATTATGGCATTTGCGTGTGGTAATCTTTTTGTTTCTTTGTTTTGGTTTTTGGTTTTTTGAGACACGGTTTCTCTATGTAACAGCCCCGGCTTTCCTAGAGCTCGCTTTGTAGACCAGCCTGGCCTCAAACTCAAGAGATCCACCTGCCTCTGCCTCCCGAGTGCTGGGATTAAAGGCGTGTGCCACCACTGTTCAGCATGTGAGGTAATCATAATTGAGATATATAAGTCCCTGTTCTCAATATGCTGAATTTGTGATCCTAACTTGTCAAAGGAAAATCCTAAAAGTAGCTCAAGTTTAATTTTTGTATTGCTAACTTACTGTGATTAACTTTGTATACACTGTTACAAACTTACTGTCTCTGTTCAAGATTTAATTTGATCTTGAGTCATTTTTCCCTCTTTAAGCACATTTTTGTTTTGAAAATTCAAACTAATCTTTAAAATGCTACAAGGTAAGACATTGCCATTCTGACAATTAGCTTTACAAAGGACTAGAAATAAAGGTGGGCGACAACATCTCCCAGCTGCTTCTTTTGCTTAGGAAGATGTGTTCTCAGCTGGGGCTCATGTGACATTCCTGCTGCTCTGATTAGACTGCTAAGTCCTTTAGAGGTGGCGTTATTTGAAAAGTCACGTTGTATCCTCCCATGAGCTGTTAACGCGGGGTTGTGCATAAGGGAGACAGCTTAATGCAGATTTGAATGAGGGGATGAATGGCCCTCAGTTATAGTCACAGTTACTTCAGCGTGTACGAATGGATCTAGAAACATTTCCAACTTACTGAGGACTTGTACAACAATCCACAAACTGTCTGTCATATTTAGAATGTTACTTCTACTCTCCTCCCCTCGATTTCACGGAGAGAGTGTGGTTTGAGGACATTAAAGACATCAGAACCCGAAAAAAAAAAAAAAAAAAAAAAAAAAAAAAAAAAAAATCTCAGAGCCTGATTTGAAATTCTGATTTCAGGAGCCATTTCCTCCAAACACAATCCTGTATAAGCCTTTATGCTTAAACTGCCTTGATCTTCAACATTTGACTTAGGGGATAGAAAAAAAGGATTTAAGTATAGATCCTCATATTATTGTTCACTTAATAAATGCTATTGCATGATATACATCATCTCATTTAATCTTCATATACAAATCATCTCATTTAATCTTTACAACCACTGTTACCTAAAGTGATACAAATAAAAAAGAATAAGATCAACTGTGGAGGAAGTTAGCAAAGCAACAGATTGATCTTTCTGTCCTGTGACAGTGAAAGAAATATAAAATAATCACTGCTGTTGACTACATATGTATCCCTGAGTTGAAAGACTGCCAGGTTTTTACATTGTAAGACAGTTACAATAGACTGATGTAAATTGAAGGCCATTTAAAAGGGAAACATTGGTGACAGTGTGAAACCAAGAGAAAATTGTGAATCTGAATGTTTAGATTCATGAAATCACACATATGAAATTATCAGAAATTTCTTGGAGTACTAAAACTTATAGATCAAGATATGTAACTCAGAGGAAGTCCAAAGACAGGCTGTGCATAATGAACTTCCTTTGGAAATCACAGAAGTAAAGTATGCTAAGAAAAGCTGAATCTGTCAGGAATGTTGGTAACAGAGTGATGATACTGCTGGGGAACTGAGTCAAGTTCTGAAAACAGGAACTCTCAAAATGTGCACACATGTGAACTTCACACACACACACACACACACACACACACACACACACACACACACACACCAAAACAAAACAAGCAAAACATATCAGTGCACTTAACAGAACCATGTGCTGTGTCAGCTAAGAAAATGATTTGTGAAGAAAGGTTAGTATATTTCATCAAATAGTGCCCTCTGGTTACATGTAAAAGAAGAAATAACCCAAATGTCAATCAACAGGAGATTACAAAACTAGTTATGCCCAAACAATGGAAAAAAGCAAATGAAACAGCCACACTTTGATCTGTATAACATCATCAATACAATACTTTACTATAATACTTGAGTGTAGAAAAATCCTAGTAGATTAAAAATTCCTATTTGACTTTATTTATTACAGATTCTGTAAAAGTAGTTAATGTTAATTTCCTTTTAAATTTTTTTCAATTTTATATTTTTCATTGCACACCTCTCTCTCTCTCTCTCTCTCTCTCTCTCTCTCTCTCTCTCTCTCTCTCTCTCTCTCTCTGTGTGTGTATGTGTGTGTGTATCAGAGTAAGTGTGTGGAGGTCAGATGACAACTTGTAGAAGTAATTTCTTTCTTACTACCTTTGGAGTTCTAGGGATTGAACTAATCTCATCAGGCTTGATGGCAAGAGCCTTTGCTCACTGAGACATTTCACTGGCCTTCTTCACTGAAAACAGATCAGCAATTGCCCAGTGGACTATAGGATAGACTATAACAGACCACTCAAAAAAGGTGGGGGTTAGTGGTAATTGATTTGTGTGTGTGTGTGGGGGGGTGGGCTTTGGAAGTGTATTTGTGAAACATTGCTGTAATACATTCTTAAAACAAAATTTTGTACAGGCACCAGGAAGTTCTGTAGAATGGCAATAGTCAAGTTATGCTTCATGTGTTCCAAGAATGGTATGGTAAAACTGTAAAGTTAGCACCATGTGCTATGTATTCAGAACACTGTCCACTAAAAACAAAACAAAACCCAGAAGCTAAACAGAGTGGCAGTCATTTGTCCTTTGCTAAAGAGAGTGAAGGTACACATTTTTCCACATCTTGTCTTTGCTTTACCTCGCTAGCTCCAAGGTAAAATGTATATCATTTATTCTTAGCATTCCTCCCCCAGAAGCAGAACGGTAAGTTGTAGAATAGATACATTTTAATTATTTATTGAAAATGTAAACTGCTACGAGCAATGTAGCACCATAAATAAAAGTGGCTAATTTTGGAACCATTAAAGTGTACTGATAATTTCATTTCTCTGTCAACTCAAACTAGCAACACGGGAGTGTTTCATGGAATCTTCAGTCTCTCTGTCACAAATTCACCCCAAGGGAAGCTAGTCTTGATGGGGAATTTTGCCTGCCTTGGTGGGGAAGAATGCTTATAGGAGTAATTTCAAGATGAAAATTTAATGATGATTTCTGTGAAATATTTATAATGGAACTAAAAATAGAGTTTTCTTTAAGTTCATAAAATACAGCTCTTCATGATTCTCTCTCTGTAGCGGTGTGTGTGTGTGTGTGTGTGTGTGTGTGTGTGTGTGTGTGTGTGTGTGTGTCTTTGTATGTCTTTGTGCACATTGATACCGGGTTCCATTATGTATCATAGACTAGCCTCAAACTCACTATCTGCCTACCACATTGTATACAATGTTCTGATTGCAATCATCATCATGTTCCCCAATTCCTGGCTTTCTCTCTTTCTATAGTAATATGTATTTTTTCTCTTTTCCAGACATGAAAACACCACTCTCTTCTATTCACCACTGCTTTTTACTGATCTTTGCCTGTGACATGTGCCTAGATCGAGAGATCAGGCAAGAGTCCTGACTCCATTTTATTGGTGTATTGAGAATAAGAAATGGCTATAAACATTTCACCTACCTTTGCTACAGTTTAAATTAATAATCTGTATAACTACACTTTATATGTACTAGCGAAGAAAATTTAAAAGTTCTCTGATTGTCATGTTGATTCTGTTCTGATAATTATGGCTTAAAATCTTTGTGACTATATATTTTTCTCAGTTTTTTTAATAGAACATTTGCTTTGTGTGGAGTTGAGTTATTTATGACTCAGAGGGGTCAAATGGGAAGTGATACACTGTTCATTGGCTGGATCATGAGCATTAAAGAATTAAAAACACTTCTTAGGATAGACAAAAGTAAGATTGTTCAAATGATAAAATAATGACCTACATTTAGACTTTGCTGAGTTTTTAGTGACAGTTCAAGGGTGATTCAGCTCCATCTCCTCTTGGGGAGATTTTATTTTATTAGCCTTGTGATCTCTATTTCTTCAACCTAATACAAGTGTTTAGGAGAATTTTCTTTCATTTGTCTTTCCTTTAAACAATATCCCTTCTACATCAGACATTATCTGTGGCTATAAGTAAGCTTGAATAGTGACAAGTTATTAATGATTATTAATTATAGTAACCTAATAAATATGTTAGATGATTATTGAAGACTGATTTACCCATAATGGTATTGATAGTATCTACAGAACAAAATACTTTAAATGTTTAACTTTATTACTCAGTGTACTCTACAGAAGGAATTCTTGATAGTTTTCTGCTCATGACCCATGAAACATTTATTTCTCATGATTGTTTTATGTGTTTCCAGACATATAAGTATATAGAATATGTATAAAAATCAAACCTTTACCAACCGTAAGTTATAAAGAAATTTATTTTAAAACAATTCTATGCACACATAATTCTACCATTTGATAAAGACAGTAAGCTTGCTTTCTGAAATGTGTGTGTGTGTGTGTGTGTGTGTGTGTGTGTGTGTGTGTGTGTGTGTGTGTGTGTTGGTTATTTTGTTGTTGTGGCTTTGATAAAATATCATGGCCATGTAAAATTACAGAAGGTAGAGTTTATTTATGCTTATGGACCCAGAAGCTGTAGAGTCAGTAACAGCAGGGAAGCATGGCAGCAGACACAAGAAGCTGAGAGATCACCTCCCAACTGTCAATATGAAGCAGAGGGAGTGAACTAGAATGGAGGCAAGACTATAAATACTCAAAGGCCATCCACCATGATATAACTACTCCAGATAGGCTCCACTGTAGCTAGAGTTTTCCTGCCTGACCCATGGTCAGGACAAATTTCTCTCACCCACCAGTCCCACAGCTGCTCAGACCCAACAAAGTAAACACACAGAGACTTATATTGCTTACAAACTGTATGGCCACAGCAGGCTTCTTGTTATCTATTTCTTATATCTTAAATTAGCCCATTTCTATTAGTCTGTAAGTTGCCATGTGGCTCGTGGCTTACTGGTACCTTGCATCTCACCTGTCATGGTGGCAGCTGGCAGTGTCTCTCTGACTCAGCCTTCCACTTCCCAGAATTCTCCTCTCTGCTTGTCCCACCTATACTTCCTGCCTGGCTACTGGCCAATCAGTGTTTTATTTATACAGAGCGATATCCACAGCACTCCACATTCCAAATGTTCTACAACAGTGATACCAACTGGGACCAAGTATTAATATACCTGAGTTTCTGGAAAGCGTTCTTACAGAAACCATCATGCCCCATTCCATGGCTCCCACAGGTTCATGGCTGCCATGACCTATTACATACCTCTTATAGGTTCATGGCAATAACATAATTCAAAATGCACTTATTCCAACTTCAAAAGTCCCCATAATCTTTTAAAGTCTCAACATTGTTTAAAAATCCAAAGTCTCTTCTAAGACTCAAGTGAATACCCTAATTGAGACCCCTGTAAAACCAAAAGGCAAATTATATACTTCCAACATGTAATGGCACAGAATATATATTTTCTATTTAAAGTGAGGGATGGGGTATAGTGAAGAAATATCCCACT